TACATGGCCCAAAGTAAGCCCTCAATAAGTCTTCATTTATTGAAAGAAAAATGAATAAGCGAATGAATGATGCCATGCAGTAATTCAACAAATATCTACCGAATAAAAAGTATGCATAGGTTATAGGTGATAGTCAATCATACAATACCTCATTTTAAGTAAAGACCAAAACCTACCTTTTATGAGTATAAATTTTATGTTTCACACTTAATAGAAAAAAAGAATTTTTCTTTTGACTTTGTTTATATCACATATTTAACATATGCCAATATTTTAAGATAAGAGTAAATATTTACAATGTATATGAAATTGATCTATCGATATTATCATATTATTTCAATGTAGTTGAAACCCTTTCTATAACATTCCCTTTTCTTTCAGGTCTGCTGTGGAGTACCATCAGTTTCTTAGTATGACCATAAAACTTCATTCAGTGATAATTACTAAACATTAGGTACATGCACTAATGAGAACTCAAAAGAAATATTTGTTGCCAGAGATTTTTAGAAGCTAATTGGGCTAAAAGTTCAAAGCTCCAGCCAGGCGGGGTGGCTCACGCCTGTAATCCCAGCACTTGGGAGGCCAAGGTGGGTGAATTGCCCTGAGCTCATGGGTTTGAGACCAGCCTGAGCAAGAGTGAGACCCCCATCTCTTAAAAAAAAAAAAAAAAGTTCAAACTCCGAGAATCATGCTGAAGCTGATATAGGGGAAGAACATGAGGAAGAAGGATTGTTCAGGGCAAGTTGAGTTGAATTGTGCTTGTGGAATGGAGATGGAAAGCACCATTTCCAAATGGATGAAACAGCATGAGCTAAAGCCAAGAGGAAGAAATGTGCAGATTGTGGAGATAGGCCTGGTTAGAGTGTACACGCCATGAGCAGGGATGAACGGATAGGAGAGGGAGGCATTGGATGGTAGGTGAAGTAGTCAAGCTTGTTAAGTGGGGAGCAGCCAGTCTGAAATCTGAGGGACTGGATTATGTCAAGGTTTTGTAGAAGGAGACTTCATCTATGAGTGCTAAGAGGTTCCCCTACATCCTGGACAAGATTAGCTCAATCCAGACTAGCATATGGTCCTCATAGCAACACTTCTCTTTTGATTATAACCGGCTTCATTTATTAAGAGAGTTCTTACTGGTCAAGCGCTTTTAAACACATTATCACATTTGGTCCTCAGAACAACCCTGGAAAATGGGTATTTCACCCATAGAAGATGAAGAAAGTGTGACTTAGAAATAACTTGCTTATGGTTACCCAATTTGGGCTTTTTCTTTGTAATCCATGCTCTTAACTCCTTCTTCAGCTTGTCTACTACAGTCACTGCCTCATTGTTCAGGGCTTCAGTGCCTAATGGATGTGCTCTACCAGTAGATTTAAGTGCTGACCACTTCTGATTTGGACCTCATTTCTGCTAATGCAGCATCTTACAGCTTATGCATTACCTTTTTAGCAAATAGAGCATGTGTTGGCTTCCAGGAGTTTTGTGTATCACCCAAACCTAGATAGCATTCCCAAGAACTTTCAACAGACCAAGTCTCTCTGACATTAAACACACCTAGTTTATTTGTTGAACCCAAACACAAATTTGTCCATTATCTTTTGGTTTTGGTTCTGTACCCTAGCCAGTAAGCCATATACAGGGAATAAGCAGGTGACATAATCACACAGATATGTTTTAAGGAATAGAGGCTCAGGGGAAAAAGTGGTAATTTCAAATGAATTTAGAGCCCACCCGTCTAAAGCTGCCAGAGGCCATAATATAGCTTTTTAAGATGGAGTTGGAAGATTCCCTCCCTCCTGGAGTGATGCCTTACAAGAACTAGACTCTTCCAGGAAGCTCTCCCAGGGCAGGGCTGAAAAGGAAGTGCTAAGGCCTCCCAACAAAGACAATGCTTGGAAGACAGCATCTGTGTAGAAAGAAAAACTCCTCCCTCTGAGAATCATTCCACAGTGTGTCTGATCCCAGCTGCTAGACCTCCGCCCTTGATTGCTTGAACTTGCCCACACAGCCTTCCAAGACCAGCCCTAACAAGGAGGTCTGAGCCTACCTCCCCATAGCTGCCCCAGACAAGATGTCCACCATCTCTAAATCCAATTGTTATTTAAAATGTCAAATGACACAGGAAAGACTTATGAAGACATGCAAGTAGAGACTTCCTATCAAATCAGTATTGATCACACAGGGCAGACAGACAATGATAAAGCAGAAAGAGTGATTTTTTGGCTTGTTTTTCTGTACACATAACTCTTTAGAGAGAACAGCCTGGTTTGCTGGGGATAGAGGAAGAGAGTGAAACTGATGTGTTTATGAGAACTTGTTTGCAAGCTGGATTTGGCTACGATTCTCAATGGGGGGAAGAAAGCACCAGAATCTGGGAGGATTTATGAGGCTTCTGAAAGCTGTATACCTCCTCCAACCCTTTTATGGGTCAGCATCTCTGCCACCCACAGCACCTTAATTGAGGCCAATGTGGCGTATTTTTTCCATTCTTTCTAGTATTTAGAAAAATGGAATGAGAACCCACTGGACTAGAGAGACAAATGCATACGCCCCTGGCTCCATTACTATAGTCTAGCAGGGGAGCTTGGCTTGAATAATGGACTCCTGTGGCTATAGATATGATCAAGCTGGGTTCCTATGCAATTGCCAAGATGCAAGCATTCATGTTCATGGAGGCTTGAACAGGGGGTGCAGTCTAGGATTCAATACAACAGACCTACATCAGAAACTAGCCTTGTTAGTGTCACCCTTCCTTGCTAATAACAGAAAACCTTTCAGCTTTTCTTCCTCTCCTAGGTCCTGTCCCTCCTGGAGTCACTGTTGTTTAGAACGGACCAAGTATTTTGGCCACATGATCATTTTCTTTGATTTTATAACTACTCTTCTAAGACTATACTGGAAAGTGTTATAATCACTTTAGGGGGAAAAAAGTGAATTAAAACAATTGCATGTGTGCTTGGGCATAGTGGCTCATATCTGTCATCCCAGCATTTAGGGAGACCAAGGGAGAAGGATTGCTTGAGGCCAGGGTTTGAAACCAGAGGTAACATTGTGAGGCCCTCATCTCTACAAAGAAATCTAAAAATTAGCCAGATGTATGGCTCGGCACCTGTAGTTCAACGGCTGAGGTGCCAGCCACATACACTGGGCCTGGTGGGTTCGAACCCAGCTTGGGCCTGCCAGACAACAATGGCAACTGCAACCAAAAAAATAGTGAGCGTTGTGGCGGGTGCCTGTAGTCTCAGCTACTCAGGAGGCTAAGGCAAGAGAATCACTTGAGCCTGAGAGTTTGAGGCTGCTGTGAGCCGTGATGCCATGGCACTCTACCAAGAGTGATGTGGTGAGACTCTGTCTCAAAAAAAAAAAAAAATTAGCCAAGTGTGGTGGCGCATACCTGTAGTCCCAGCTACTTGGGAGGCTGAGGCAGGAGGGTGACCTGAGTCTAAGAGCTTAAGGCTACAGTGAACTATAATCACACCACTGCATTCCAATCTGGGCAACAGAACATAAGTCTGTTTCAAAACAAACTACTAAACAAAAAACCCTAGTTATGTGGGGATGTTATTTAACCTAAAAGAACCTCAAATAAACTATAGATACCTGGGCTTTGCATTGCTATAATCTCTCGGGTAGAATCAGTTTCAGATGCCATGTTACTGATCAATATGGTATTCATATAAACAAAACCAAAAACTTAAAATGGAATCATAATATTTAAAGATGTATGTTAGTCGAGAAATCAACATTATGTGTACATTAATATAAACAATCTCTGTATAAATGCTGAAGCCATTTAAAATAACGTTTCACTTTTAGCAATGTGTTACACATTCTTACTCTTAAAAATATTATTGAATTCTTACCATATTGGTTGTTAAAGAAAATGGAAGAGCTGTTAAACAAATTGTATGCAATTATGTTATCTTTGAAATGTTTTATTAAGTATTCAAAAATTCAAAACATACAGAAAATATAAAATAGTATAGCTGATATGTGCGTATATTGGATCAAATTCTATTCATATACCCTGTACCCATTCAGTTCAGTAAATTTTCCCAAATTCATCTCCATATAAATTTAACTTCATTATAATAATACGAACATTTTCAAACCAAAGGGTAGAGGCTGACAGCGATGATAATATGTCTGTGGTTTGCAGCTCAGGTTGTGATATTACTTTCAGGCTATGTCCACATAGGGTGAGGATGAACTATGGAGGCATGACCCTGTGTGGAGAATCTCAGCAATATAGACGCTAAACCGAAACACCTGCTGATGAACCATCCCTTAAGTCTACAAGAAGTTTCCATACTCCCCTGCGTGCAGTGATATTGGTAACTACCTCGATTTTCCTTTCATTAGGCTAGTAAACACATTATGAATTACTACACACCAGATAGTTCTTGAAATAAAAAATTACATAGCTCTAATCTCCCTGACGCTAAATTAAAAAAAACAAAACAAAACTAAAGTATCTGCAATGTTGCAGTGTGATTGCTTTACTTAAAACAGGGTACAGTCACAGAGTCTTTCTAGAAAAGCATTGTTGTTCTAACAATGACAATCTGTGCCTTGCTTTAAGTAGGTCCCATAATTCTTAGCATGAATTTCACTTTTAAAAAATCACTGAAGATTATCTATGAGGCAGGTAAAATCAGGTTTGTTCCTTTTTTTTTTTTTAATAAGAAAACACTCCAGAATATGGAGCAGGAAAATCTTGCATGATAGTAAGCAGATCTCTTCATGGATGATGACTTAATCAGTCCTCAAACAGTCTGTGGCAACCCAGGCCACGAGCATCCAGAAAAGACACTCCAGAAAATCAGTTCATGCTTCAGGGACGTTTTATTCCAATCTATTCATATATTAACCAGAGGAATAATGCCTTTGCCACAGCCACCCACTGTCAATCAGCACTCATGAGATTTGGTGAGAGAGCCCAGAAGTTACTAACTCTGTTTTAAAAAATACTAAATTAGTAAAATAAAGCCAAATCTTACCAGAAAGGAGCAAGCTGACTCCATAGAGAACTAAGCCGGCTAGAGTCCATGCTTTCCCAAATCTCTCCATCCAGTATCCACAGATGTGCATGAGGTCCCAAGGATCCTTTCAAAAACCCAGAGGTTTGTGACTTTCCATTCGCATGTTCTATGAGGTCTTGTTTACAAGTTAGAGGCAAGAAGGAACAGCACAGAAGCAGCCTGTAACAGTCTCATTTCTGTCTGAGCACAGGGAGTTTTAAGTTCCTTTTTCCTGTTTCCTTTGTAGATTAGGATGGGAAAGGCTGTATCTTAAAGGCATTTGGTATCGGCAGGGCTGGGGGCACTCAAGCCCTATCCATCTTGCAATTCATCAAAACACTTATCTGTTGCTGTTGCTTCTGCTGCTGCTTTTGCTGTGGCTTGCAGGGATAGAGGAATTTTTGTTGGAAGTGTGGGTCCTGGTCAGCATTTTCAGAAACAATAGGGGTATCCTCTCCGAGGCGGGAAACTGAAAATAACGAGCCCTCCACCTATGCGTGGTATGCGGTGATGACCAACCCTCTCTGACCTCTAACGGCTCTCCCGGGGCCACCTGGGATCCTCCACAAGAAGGGGCTTTTGGGTGTGGGAAGCAATTTTAGCTTTTGTTTTCTCATTTTAACCCACATGGTTTGAATTGCGAGAAGAAGTTTTCCATGATGAGAAAACACAACCTACCTGAAAGGCAATTCATTTGAGCCACCGTCGGTGAGGTCAGTGCTCGGCACAGCCACAAGAGACCAGAATCCCAAATCATTTTAGCCTGTTTTCTTTCACACAGATGACCTATTTGTTGGCCACAAGCCCAAAAATACCCATGCTACTGGCTATAGCTTTAATTTTTATTAACAATTCATCTAAAGGTAATCTAATTTCTTGAAGAACTGGGCGTAGGAGGATTTTAGTAATGGGAAGGATTTCATAGTTATTGAGAATGATGTTTCGGAAGCAAATTACATATAAAATGTTAAAAATAATCTGTGCAAAGGCAAACATATGTGATAAAAATAGTGTTCATTAGAGAAGAGAGAGTATATGAGCCAAAAGGAAAATATCACTGGAATTACAGTATCTAAAAGAGATGAGAGACCCTACACTTACCCAGATGATCATTTCTCAACAGTAGGAATTATGACTTTAGGATGGACAGTATCCTCTGTTCATCACCTGCCTTTATGCCTGAGGAAGGAATTAAACTATACTCCTCCTTTTCCTACCCACCGCAGGATAGGGAAGGTGCACCTGGTCTTGACTAATTTTTGTCCTAGGTTTTATCACATCTGTGATGATATTGAGAACCAATTAATGGTTTCAGTCTTTTGAACCTGGGAAAAACCCAGGTTCTATCTGCAATCAGATCTGTGTTCAAATACTGTTCAGCCACGTGTGTGTCCTGAGACAAATTAATTTCTTTAAGCCTCAGTTTTAACAGCTGAAATATGGCAATTAATACCTCCTTCCTAGTTTTTTTGTTTTTGTTTTTGTTTTATTTTTAAGAGGATTAAGTGAGGTTTAAAAATATAGAAAAACTTCTGGTACTATGCCTAGCAAATCGAAGGTTTTCATCAAATATTACTAAGTTATTATCTTTCATCTTTTTATTCCGTCTCAGTGTAGGTCCTAAGAGCATCTACCAAAAAGCTCTTTTTTGTTTCTATACAAGGGCTTTAAGCTTGACATCATAAAGTACCAGTCTAGGAGTCAGGCCTCCTGGGTTCCAGTCCCAGCTCTGCCCTGATCTGCCTGTGAGGCCTTGGGCAAGTCATTTCCAATCTCTAGGGCTCGGTTTCCTCAATTGTGAAATGAATGATTTATACTGAATGTGACTAATGTTTCTTCAGATTCTATCATCTCATAAGTCCAAAATCACAAAATAAATGGTCCCACTCTCAGCATCCTTGAGTTGATTTCCTATATTCTTTCATCTGGGCAGTTCAAAGAAGATGCTGGCTTTGTGTCTCTGTCAACATGAGAGCCTGGGAAGGTCACAAATGTGCTCTATTTTAAGAACATGATGGTTGAGGCCTGGTGAGGTCCACTGGCCCTAAGCCACATGGAGCATAATGGAAGGTCTTTGGAAACAAACTCTAGGGCATCTGCCCCTAGGCACAGCTTCCTCTGTTTGTGCTTGATGGACACACAAGGAAGTTGTCATCACTGGAACCCCCTCCTGTTGGCTAGTTCTTGTGGGCTAAAGGTACTACCTTCCTTCCTCTTCTGGACTGACTCCCCCACTACCCAGAAAAGCTGCTCAGTTTCATCTTTTCCCCCTCTATCCAGAAAAATGCACGCTTACCCAGAAATGTTACAAGTTCTCCCCTCCTCCATTATCCAGAATGGATGATTCCATTTCATCCTTCTCTCTGCTATGTAGAAATGTTGCTTTGTTTAATTTATGTCTTCATTATTCACAAGAGCCATGTGGCGTAATTTCATCTTCCAGGATCCAGAAAGATCATTACATTTAATCCTTTCCACTGTTATCCAGAATAGTGGCTTGATTTAATAAACGCTGCTGAGTTTCCTGAGTTTATACTGATATGCAACTAGTCAAAAGCCTGAGAAACTTCTCTTTGGGAGGTCTGAATTTTTAACATGAGAGGTAAATTCCAGCTATAAAGATAACTTTGAACAAAAATTCCCAGACTCGTTCTGCTCCAGCTTTCTGCACCATGGACTTTAGAACATGGAGAACCAATCAAGGAACAATAATAGGAGCTTCACCACTCACTTTGGGGTCAGTACGTTTGCAGAGTTGATTGGCAACAGGTTGGGAAGTTGCAAAACTGGATGGCATGCCAGGATTTGCAAGGGAAGGGAGAGGCCACTTCCATGTCTGGACAGGACTTTCCCCAATATATGATGTATTAAGGAAATACCACATACTTGGACATGGCCACTACCCTTCTCTGAAAAGCTGGCTGTGACCATCACTAGGGCATCTTCATTCTCTGAAGAGTCTTGTTGAGGACCAGGTGAACTAGCTCTTTACCCTCAACTACTTCGTTCACCTATCAAGGTGGAAATGCTTCTCCCCTCTTTGCCTGACTAACTCCTTGTTATCTTCTTGTTCTCAGCCTCAGAAAAGTCTTCCCAGAACATACAAACCAAATGAAGCTCTCCTCCTGTTATTTTCTCACAACGCCCTGTTTTTTCTTGCATGGTATTAATCACAATTGGTTGTACCTTTATCTTTTTAATGTCTTCTCTGCCTCCAACTTGACTGTAATCTCCACGAGGCAGGGACCATGGAGATATTCACCACTGAATATCTAGAACTCAGCACAGTTCCTAGCACGCAGAAGATCTGAAATATTAGCTTAATGAACTGATGAAATGAAAATACTCCCATTGTTAGGTGCTTATGTCAAGAAAAGGGCTTTGGATTCAGGGCCTGGGGTGCATCTGTTGTAATTTACTCTCATTGTGACCTGATCAATTTAATTCAGATCTCTACATTTCAGATTCCTCATCTTTAAAAAAGGATAAAATTCCTAATTGGCAATATAATATATAGCCAAATAAATATAATATAGCATCCAGATAAAGAGTCTCTATGGGTTCCTTCCCTGCCTGCCACCAGCACCACCACTGGGCTGTTATATGGGGATAGAGCTATTTGCAATCAGGAAACAGAGTTCCACACAGGCTAAGTTACTTGCTCTGTTGTGGATGACAGAAGCATTGGCCTCCGAGTTTAATATATGATTCTTTGTTTCATAGTTCACCTTTAGACCTCAACGTGCGGAAAAGTAGATAAAGAGGAATGTAGGAAACATTGCTAACACCAGCGAGGTATACTCAGACTTTAAATATTTAAAGAGGTATTTGAAGTAAAGCTTTGACAGACAATGAAAAAGTCTGGTGATGGTTACACTGAGAAACAGAATCTGTTCTCGGTGTGCTTCTGAAATAGTGGTAACTAATGCTGGATCTGCAGGTGCTCCATGGCTTTGCTTCAGGAAAATGAAAGGGGGCCTCCTCATGAGTCAAGCTCATTTGATTTAATTGGATTTTTCCAGACATACTTACAACAGAAAAAAAGAAAAGAAAACCAGACCAAACCAATGAACAAACAAAACCAGCAAACAAGGCCCTTGGCTGATATTTCATTTTCTATTCTCTGATTTTTCAACTTAATTTATGAAAAACATCTATATACATTAGAAGTATTTGAGACCAACCAGAATGGTGGCTCATGCTTGTAATCCCAGAACTTTGGAAGACTAAAGTGGGAGGAACGTTTGAGGTCAGGAGTTAGTCAAAAGACTAGGCGATAAGGTGAGGCCCTATCTCTGCATTAAAAAAAAGAAGTTTAGCCAGTAGTGATAGACTGCACCTGTAGTCCTAGCTAATAGGGAGTCTGAGGTGAAAAGATCGCTTAAGCCCAGGAGTTTGAGATTTCAGTAAGCTATGATCACTGCACTGTACTCCATCCTGGGTGACACAGTGAGAACCTATACCTTAAAAAAAAAGTTGGCTGGGCGTAGGGGCTCACACCTATAATCCTAGCACTCTGGGAAGTGGAGACAGGTAGATTGCTTGAGCCCAAAAGACTTGAGCTATGATGTGACCTATGTGAGCTATGATGACACCCTGGCACTCTACCCAAAAAAAATCCCCAAAGGTTTTGAGACAGATAAGCAAAAATATAAATAAATAATAAAACAATTTTTGTGAAAAATTATAGAAAGTAACTTATATACTGCTACTATAAACTAGTATCACATGTCCGGAGGTCAATATCACAAATATGTAGCAAAAGCCTTAGATGCATATCCTTTGGCCAAGAAAATCCACTTTTATAATACACACCAAGCCAGAATCAAAGATGTGCCCCCATGGGCTTCACAGAAGCACCATTGATAATAATCAAACCCAGGAAATAATCTAAACAAAAATGGCTTATGTATATACATAATGGTACACAATGAAGGATAAGACAAATGTTAAAATATTGTGGTGAAAGCATATTGACATGAAAATAAGTAAAAAGGTTTATGGTATATCAGTGATTGGAAAAAAACAGTTTAAAGAGAATGAAATTTATATACACACTCCACATATGAATGACAAGTACATATGAAAATGCAAAAAGTATCTATTTCTGAGTGATTGAAAAACTGATAATCTTTATTTTTTTCTTTATACTTTTCTATGGCTTCAACATTTA